CCACCATATTAGACATAAGAAAAACTCTTCTATAAGCTTGGTTGCAGCATTATCATGGTGCTGATATGGTATGACTAATTATTCAAATGACTTTACTAAGCAGGTTCTTTTTTCTTCTTTTTTTTGGGTTCAAAAAGCCGCATGTCTTTTTCTTTTTTGGGTCAAAACAAAGCAGGTCTTTTTTTATACAAAGGGTTTAGGGTGGTGGAGGGGCAAATCGAACTTAGGACCTCAAATGTATGAGTAAATGCTCTTAACCACTTAAGCTACCAGCTCGTTGATACTAAGTAGCGTGTTTTACTAGGTTTTGACTTTTTCAATTTGGTTTGTATGCTCATTTTCAAAAAATTGGCCAATTATTATCTCTTACAAAGACATGTTGCATGACATCAAAAGGAGATATTTAATTTGTTTAGTAAGCAACAAAAAGCCTTTATCTTGTCATATGGAATATTCCACTACACTCACGCTTTCTCATTGTTTCTCTCTAAGCCAGACATCACCAATTAATTATCCCATGTCTTGTTGTATATATTTTAGACCCCGAAGTTTGTTATAGCTAGCAATTATTGGAGCTAATTAAGCTTTTTCCATGTACTGTGGCTTTCACACATACGAACGAAATATATATATATATATATATATAAGGCTTTGATGAGCTTAATGATCCCAAGTTATCTCTTGAGGAAGCCCTAGTCGACAACCAAAGAGTTGACTATCATTTTCGCCATCTTTATTACCTTGAAGCAGCGATCAAGTGAGTTTCACCTTTGCGACAGATTCGTTCAACAATATAATTAGTTATATCTCTGATATTTTATTTACAACCTCTTTTTTTGCAGAGATGGTGTCAATGTGAAAGGGTACTTTGCGTGGTCATTGCTAGACAATTTTGAATGGACGTTAGGATACACTGTTCGGTTTGGTATCAACTATGTTGATTATAAAGATGGGTTGAAAAGATACCCTAAACTCTCAGCATGCTGGTTTAAACAATTTCTCAGAAAATACTAAGAGATATACAAATGTCTTCTTCTTTCTGGGTCGAGAGAGAGAACAATGTCAATCGAGATATTTGGCTCACACAATATATGAGTAGAACTTCTCCAACTAATAAAAAGATATAACCTGAAATATGCCTTGTGATCAATCCTAGAGACTAAATATATATATCACAAGGATACAAATCGTGAATTATTGAAGAGACAAATGCATGTATATGCTCTCTTGTTTCACTATCTCCATGAGTAGTCTAACTACTAACATCGCATATATAATTCTTTCAAAAATTTGGAAGAATTAGTTTGTTTATTCTCAGTCGTTTATTGTAGTCTAATTTAATGGTTGAAAATTTGTGTTAAATTTGTGGTGTTACGGATCTGCTCCTTTTATATATATATATATCAGTCTCTTTCTATTGAGAGATCCTTCAAATAATTTTATTTGAGAGATATCCTTTAGAGTCCCATAAGAATTTTTTTTTAATGATCGAAACCATCTATTTTTTAAGTCTACATTCATAGATCATCCTTGCAAAAAATTAGATAAATCGGAAACCATTTCGATATCCAATTGTGTCCTACAAAATCAATGAACACGGTCCTTCAAGAAAGTACTAAAATTTCAATAATTCAATTGAGTGGTCAAATGATATCAGATTCAAGTGATTTTTTGTATGGATGATCTTTGAATGAGTATCTAAAAAATAGACGGTTTGGATTAATGAAATACAATACGGAATGGGCCCTACAAGAGTGTCCCTCAAATAAGCTAATTTGAGGGATCCCTCAATAGAAGCTATCTCTATATATATACACACACATACATATAATATTGATATTAATTCATTTTAGTGAGAGTAAGAACTATATACCCTCCTAACTAATTAAGAGAAAAAACGATCCATCGTAAATTTTGTATGGATGTGGGATTATCCTCAACCTCATCCTAAAAAATCTCCATGAGAGACTCATCATGCAACAAGATCCACACACAATTATGTAGAGGTTATTTAGTAGCACATACACTGATTTCTTCACTAATCCACTATAAACAATTATGTAGAGGAAGAGGAAGATTCCCAACAAATAATGTGCTTTTATGTAGCCTATAAAGATATTGACACAACTGGATGAGTACAAAACACATTTGCAATAAGCCAGGCCATCTGTAGCCCCACAAGGCAGGGCCAACTTGAAAAGCATAGCTTGGATTACACGTGGGTTTTCTGATTTTGTATTTTATGAGTGTGTAGTTTTTTTCCGAAAGATATATATGTACTTATGTATATGTGGATTCATGATCACATGGATTTGTGGACCACTTTAGACTAGTCCGTTCTTAAGCATGCAGTGTGGACCATATATGTGTGTGTGATACACGTTTAGACTACCTAACTTTCACAGTATGCACAATATATACATATAGTTATATCCGCATGTTATGATTATATGGACGCTATAGTAAATATGGATAAAAATAAAGAGGGATAATACAAAATACATGGTATCCGCACAATAATAACATTCGAATATATATATATATATGTATGTGTGTGTGATGTCAATATTTTGTAATATACGTCGAACCGTGAAATAGATTATTTCATTTTTGGTAACACTTCATACTATTATTATTTCACCTTAAACCTTGAAATCAATATAGTGCGAGTATAATGCGCAGTTCGCGCTTTCTACATTGCATAATGGGGAAAGCTTGTGTCAAGTTTGTGGGGAAAGCTTCTGTCACGTCCCGGACCCAGGGTATGGTAAAACAAAGCACAAAAGTAGTCTCACATAAACCAAGAGATAGATAACTACAATAAGATGTGAAATATTACTTTCACTTTAACAGCAAATACACACACTCAAAGAACCCCAAGGATAAATTATATATCAGACCTAAAAGCCTGAATACACCAGGGCTGAAGTTTTTTTTTTGGGTCGAAACCAGGGCTGAAGTTCACAAAAGATAAAATAGAAAGCTTGGTTTAATTTCTAACATGTACCATGCCTAAATGTCATGACTCGTGACTAATGGGTAGGACTTGCCTTACCTAATACTATATGTTGAAAGAAAAGAAAAGAAAAAGAAAAAGAACTGAGAACCAGATGACACACTAACTACTCATCAGTTTCAAATAGAGATGCTATATGGAACTCCCATTCCTGTGACCCCAGGTTGTGAAAAGGGCTTTAAAAGCTCATAAGGCACAACCCCAGCTCCATTTCTGTTTTTCAACTCACTGTTGGCATTTCTATCATCAATAATTCCTTCAATCACCAACAACCTCCCCTTAAAGCGTTCAAACGCCGCCTTTATAACGGGTTCCTCAACCCATGCCGCTTCCATCTTCTCTCCAATGTACTCTTCATCCGGTGAATGATTTGACAAAATATCCAGAACAGCCATGATTCTTGTTGCTTGGAGTTGTGAAGGGAAGCACTGCAAAAGTGCACCTTCAGGCTTTTTCAAGAAGTTTTTCCAAAACTCTGGCGAGGGGTCTTCTGTGGGCATATTGGTCCTTGCAATTGTCGGCCTGTTAGGGAAATAACCCGCATAGACGTATTGCCCAAAGTTGACAGCTGCATGGTGGCCAGATGTGACCCACACCAATGTGGTGATAATGCCAATGAGGTCTTCAGGGGTGTTGAGTTCTGGCCACCATGGTTCGTCCTTTTTGTCAGCATGGCCTACTGTTTTGATTTCTGTCCACCATGCTTGGAGCTCTCCATCAGTCTGTACAAGGCTGGAGTCTGGGTAGTAGTGGTTTACATAGTCAGTGACCCATTGTTTGATGGCATCCCACATGAGGAGACCATCATTGGCAAAAGGATAGTCTTCAATTGTTAGCTTTAAACCATGCGGAGCAGTTGGGTCTTCAACAGCCATGCCCCTAGAAAATACAAATTGAACATCAAGATTTTAGTTAAACAGTGCAAAGGATATCATAAAATTAGATATTAATATAGGGAATTGTTCAATTATCATATATATGAGATGTTATGGTATTAGACTATTAATTTGAACCCAATCATCAAGTTCTCTAACTAGATATCTGACGCGACATGCGTAGTTGTCAAATTTTCAATGTGAACTATACATGTGATCAGCTGAGAGTAAATTAAATTACCTTCTAATAAGGTCAGCCGGGAGGGCCTCTTGGTCGAACCGCCACTCCTTGCCATAGGCAACTGCGCTAAGCTCAATGGAGTATTTTCCAGGAGAGAACGAGCTTTCAATGATACCGCCGGAATTGATAAGCGATTCGCGAGCAAGAGCATTAATCTCCATCGTATATCTGAAATGGGGATGTAACAATCTATAGATTGGGTGCATGACACTGAGTTGTCGATTCGTTGCAATTATATAAGGTTCTGTGACGCAATGTGTTCTTAGCCTGCAAAAGAAGTGGCTTCCCTAAATATTGGACGAACATTGAAACCTAAAACCAAAGAAAAGGCAGCAGGAGTAAAAAATCTTTCAATGAGATATATTTGGATTATATTTACCAGTGACTAACGAGTTGATGATAACCAGAATCGTGGGCAAGGACATGTGCCTTGGCAAGCCTCCAAAGCCAGACCCCGGTGGCATTCCAAGATGGCTGGAAAACTTGCTTCCACTGTGGCTTTCCGTCCATTGGCGGCCTTGTGAGCTCAATAGCCAATGGCCTCAGTGTTCCTTCCCGGGTTAGAAAAAACAAAGTCCTCGATCCATATAGCGTGGTGCCTTCGATCTCTCTTACTTTACTCACATAGGGCAAAAACAAATCATGGTAATCTAAAATAAACAATTTCTTCTCTCTTATGACCTGCATATATTATATACCAGGATTATTATACTTGTTAATATACTTCTCTTTTAAATCTTAATTAATTAATTATCATACTACCTCCTGAACGGTTGGGAAGCCTCTAATCTCTT